CCGCCACTCGGGGCGCCGCTGCTTGACGAGGCGGTGCGGCAGCACCACCGCCCACCGCCCAGCAACGGCACAGACACCGGCAACGACGACGACGACGACGCCACGCGTCACGTGACACTCTTCGAGAACCCGCTGGAGTTCGTCGCGCTCGACGCCACAAGCCGCTCGCAGGTGTTTCAGTTCTTTGACGACCACCGCGACGCGGCGGCGGTGGTGAGTTGCATCGGGACATTGACGCGCGACCACACGGAGGCGAGGCGCATCTGCGGAGACGCGAATGTCAACATCGCTGCCGCGGTGTACGAGCGCGGCAGGGCGGTGCAGCGGATGGTGCTGGTGTCGGCGGAGCCGTGCGACGAGCACGCCGCTTTCCTCAGGAGCAAGTGGCTTCTGAAAGGGTACTTCCACGGCAAGAGGCTCNCGCGGAGCGGGCGGTTCTAGAGAACTTGGGCGACCGCGGTGTGGTGCTGCGGCCCGGCTTTGTCTATGGCACGCGCTACGTGCATGTGGGGGAGGGATTCGTACCGCTTCCGCTGTGGCTGCTCGGCAAGCCGCTCGAGGCCGCACTGCGACCGCTGCAGCGTCACGGCTTGTTGCTTCCGCCCGTGGATGTTGACGTCGTCGCGGAGGCGGCGGTTCGGGCGATGGAAGTTGGCGCGCCGAGCGGGTTGTTGGACTATTACAGGCTGCACGAGCTCTGTGCAACGCAGCAGCCAAGGGGGACAGAAGAAAAGTAGCGGATGAAAACGAGAATGCATGACGGTGTCCGTTGACATGCATTGTCGAAGTGGGGGCGAGGGATAATGACTACCCGGTGTCGTCTGATGCATCTGACTGCGTCAATCCTCGATATCCATTCATCTCTCTTTTTTTTTTTGGTGTTGTTTTCTTTTGTCTCACTCTTGGCTTTCGTGCTGCTTGTGCTTGGCGTGCAACCAGCTCGTTGAAGAGGGTTCGCCCATTCGCTGGGGGAGGCCTGAACGAAGGCACAAGCCAACGAAAGGGGAAAAAGAAAGGGAAGGAAACAGTTCCAGAGAAGTCTGTGGGGACGCCACCGCACAGCATGCTCCGCCTCGCCGGCGCCCCCGTATTGTCATCGCCGACTGCCTCCATTCGCCACACCAGCGCGTCGCCGTGGATCGCACAGCTCTTCTACGGGGCGTGTGCGGCGCCGATGTTCGGTGTGTGGAAGACTGCGAGCACGACACGCGAGGAGAACGACGCGACGCGTGTGCTCTACTGCAAAGCGCTCATCCACGCGAGCGGCGGCGGGCGGCGGGCGCGCGATTGGGTGGCCGGCTGCTCTGCTTTGATGTGCCCGTCGGACACGCTGTTGTTCATCGCACTCAAGCACAACGGGAGCGAGCAGGATGTAGAGCGGTACCGCGAGCACCTCCTCGAAGTCCTCGCCAAGGCCGCACTGGACGGCCAAAGCAGCAGTCCTCCAAGCGAGGCTGCTAGTAGTAGCAGCGGTGTGAGTGCTGCGCAGCTTGGCAGCATGCCGGAAGTGCGGTGCTTCGTGTACGACGCGATGAAGGCGGCGTGCTTTCACCGCTACCACAAAGTGCCGGTGGAAGAGCGGCAGCGCCTCTATGCCGTGGCGCAGCGCCTCGGCCTTAACGAGGATACCGCACGTGGAATCTGGCGCCTCGTGGAGAAGGAGGGGGCTGTGGAGCGGGAAAAACAGCGTGCCCTCGATTACCCGTGGAGTGACTGAGGGGAGGCGCCCACCAACGCCGCACAGCCCCAATAGCGGGAGGCGAACGAAATCCAAAAGCGGAAACAAATATAGGGAAATGAATGTCAGGCACGACTTAGAGTTAGGGCAGAGAGAAGAAGAGGAGGAAGCCGGCGGTGGAGTCTTCTCTATGCCTTCTATTCGTTCCCATCTTGATCTGCGTACATACTGTGTAGTCAATCCGTGCTGCCTCCTCAATTACCACCCACCACCACCACCCCGCCCGAGAGAGGCTGTCTGATAGTGTTCGTGGGCATCTTACCTAGTTGCTTTGATCTTACGCGCGTCCACTCCTACCTGAATGCTTCGAACAGAAGCACCACTGCCACCACCACCACCACCACCACCAAAAATGGGGGTTGTTGACTTATACTTTTGCATATATATATATATATATCTGGAGATGTATGGCATATGTGTAGACTTGTTTGTGTGTCTGTGACTTTGCATTGCGCTTTTCATATCCTTTTTTTTCCTTTTTGGCTACCTCATTCACGACTGTCTTGAACCCCCTCCCCATTGAACAAAGCTGCACCCAAACAAACACACGCATAACTATTTGAATTCGTGCGCGACAAGACCAGCATTGCAACCGATAGAAAACAGGCTCGCACCAGATGTCTTCCCGCTACGACTCCCGCACCACCACCTTCTCCCCTGAGGGCCGTCTGTATCAGGTGGAGTACGCCGAGGAGGCCATCTCGCAGGCCGGCACCGTCGTTGGAATACTCACCACCGGCGGCGTCGTGCTGGGCGCCGAAAAAGGCCAACAGAACAGCCTCTTCGACACGGAGAACATGGAGGACAAGAACATCAGCGGGGAGAAGATGTATAAAATAACCAACCACCTCGGCTGTAGTGTCGCGGGTGTGACATCTGATGCCTATGCCCTCATCAATTACGCCCGCCTCAGCGCCAACCGTCACTACTACACGTACCAGGAGCCTATGGCGGCGGAGGACCTGTGTCGCCTCGTGTGTGATGAGAAGCAACTGTACACGCAGTACGGCGGAGTGCGCCCGTTCGGTGTCTCCTTCCTGCTGGCCGGCTGGGACCGTCACCACGGCTACCAGCTATACCACACCGACACAAGCGGTAACTACAATGCGTGGCGCGCCTATGCTATTGGCCAAAACGATCAGGTTGCGCAGGCGTTGCTAAAGCGGGACTGGAAGCCAGAGCTCACGCTCGAGGAGGGCATTGTGCTGTGTCTCCGCGTGCTTGGAAAGACAATGGACACTGTGAAACTGCTGCCCGAGCGGCTTGAGTTGGCTGTGCTGCACAAAGTGCCGACGCCGGCTACGCAACGGCTGCTGAGCCCGTACAGCGCTCTGCCGAATACAGTGCCCGAGTTTAAGATACTGACGAGCGACGACCTGAAGCCGCACATCGCAGAGGCGGACCGCCAGCGCGAAGCGGAAGAAGCGGAGGAGAAGGAGAAGGAAAAGCAGAACGAGCAGAGACTGGCATCGTCGTGAGAGAGAGACAGAGAGAGAGTCCGGGAAAGGGGCGGCAGCAGCGGCAGCAATATCAGGAGCGAAGTGAAGGGAAAGTAAGGCTAGAGGAAAGGCAGACCATGGAATGGGGAGTTGGAGGCGGGGAAGAGATTCTGATTCAACGAACTTGCAGCCGTATCTCCCTATGAGAGATGCATTGTGCCTTTTCCTCCTGTGTGAGTGTGTAGGGGGGGGTGGGGGGAGGGGGGGAGTCTCTGCCCCTTCATTTCACTCTTTGCGTCACACACGCACGCCCACATATTTGCATGCACGGATTTTTTTTCCGTTTTGTTTCCCTCTCCTCTTCACTCTCACTCTCTCTCTCTCTCTCACTTGCACACACACACGCACGCTTTTCCCTTCTAGTATACGGTAAGAGGCGTATTCGCGCATCCAAAGTACACCTACACTCAAACACACACGCTCGCGTAGAGTACACAATTTGGTGTGTGCTCGATAACGTTTGTTAAAGCAAAGGTAAGTAAAACAAAAAAAAAGAGAATTTTTCGTTTGGCGGTGCATAGCTCCAAGCCGTATAGCCATATATAAGACGGAAGTGTAAGCGATTACAGCCAGATAGCACTCATAAAAAAAGAAAAGAAAATAAAGTTAAGCAGAGGATAAAGTAAAGAAAGGAAGGCGAGTGCGATTACAATACACGGATTATGAGCGTTGCCACGGAGCCAACCTTCCCAACACTGGTACGGAGGCGAAATAATGTCGCTCCTATTTTCCACCCGACTCTGCGGCGCACACAGGAGGTGATCCGGCGGCCGGAGTGGGTGCGGCACGCCGGCGAGGCCGTCTCCCACCGCGGCTCCATTGGCGTCATCAGTCTCTTTGGCATCATGTTCGCCAGCTGCCTCGGTGGTGGCTACGGCTTCGAGGACACTGTGGGTGCGGCCGGGCCACTGGTGACGCTCATCTCGGGTCTCGTGTTGCCATGGATTTGGTGCCTGCCAACGGGCCTTGCGGTGGCTGAGCTCTCCACAGCAGTGCCGAGTAACTCAGGTGTTCTCATGTGGGTGAACGCGGCATTTCCACCGTATGTTTCATTTATGTGTATCATATCCACAATAATGATCACAGTTGTAGGCAATGCGACATATCCAAACTTGACATCCGAGTACGTTATGAACCTGGTGGATCTGAACAAGGGACAGGAGGCTGCAGTGAAGATTGGTGTCATCGTCCTCTGCTGTTTCCTCAACTCTGTGGGTATCGAAATTGTCGGATCGGCATGTGTTGTTGTTTGCTTGATTGCCATCCTGCCATTTCTGATTCTTTCGTTTCAGTACCTATTTACGAAAGGCCTTGATTTCAAGGCCATTTCGCACGTGGATTTTTCCACCATCGACTGGGCAACGTTCATTAGCATGGTGAGTTGGAACTACGCCAATATTGAGAATGCTGGTGCAATGGCGGAGGAGGTTGCGAATCCGCGAACCACATTCCCGCGCATGATGGTGCCACTCATGTTTTCCTCCTACATCGCTTACCTGCTCCCCACGCTGGTTGGTGTTAGTGTGCTGGGGCCCGATCAGGACTGGTCTAAGTGGGAAGCAGGGCGCTGGCCGGACATCGCGCAGATGGTCTCGGGTGACTGGCTCAAGTATTACCTCTTTGGTGGCGCCATGGTGAGTGGTTTGGGCTTCACACTCACGTCAATGTGTTGCACAAGTCGTTTGATGGCGGGTATGGGCACGATGCAGATGTTCCCAAAGAAGATGTCACGTATTATTGGGTACTATCACCCCACAATCGGCACACCGATCCCTGCTATTGTCATCAACGCAACGTTGACGCTGGTGTTTTCTGTCTCCATGGACTTTGGTGAAGTTGTGGCGCTCTGCCAATCCCTCTACCTGTTGCGCATGGTGCTCATCTATGCCGCACTCATCAAGCTGCGCATTGATTACCCGAATCTGCCGCGCCCGTACGCGCTGCCGTGCAACACAGTTGCCGCTGGACTGTGCCTGCTACCATCCGCCATTTTCTGCGTTGTCGGCGCCATTGTGTCTTCGACGGTGTCCCTCGCCATTGGAATGTCGCTCGTCGCTTTCCTCATCGTGGGAAGCATTGGCTCCTACCTGTACTGCCGCTATGTTGCCCGAGGGGGCTTCCAGGGGGTAATTGTGCAGTGCGAGGTGAGCGACGACGACGACGTCCCGGCGGATGACGACGCCGACAGCGCGCAGAGGAATCAGGGCGTCTTCTACAAGGACGGCTATCAGGAGCAGGCAGGCGAGCTGCTGCTCGGCATCCTGCCGATGAGCGCCTCCGCGCCGGCTGATGTTGAGCGCGATGAGAAGAAGGAGGGACGCCAGGAGCCGTGCGGCAGCTGGGACACAGAAAACATGTATGACAGGGAGCCACTTTCACACTCGGCGCCAGCGGCGTTCCCGTCATCCCTCGAGGCGCACAACGGTGTGCCACAAACTCAGGAGTTTTCCGGCGGTAACAATGACGACGAGGAGGATGACAAGAGTAAGAAAGTTCACAAGATACACCGACCGAATGGGGATAACAGGGAAATGTAGGCTCCCAGCGGTGCTCCCATCGAGTACATACACCATATACATATATATATATATATATATGCAAATGCACACGCACGTACGCTCACACCATATATTGCTTCTCTGGCGCTGGGTAAAACGAAATGCAAGTAGACAAACGAGTTGCTAATTTGTGTGTGTCTGTTCGCTGCGGTGCAAGGGGTGAATGAACTTCGGCTCCCTGGGGCTCCTTGGAACAGCCGGGGTCTTGCTGTGGGTTCATTCATCGTGGTATGGGCTGCTTCTTTTCAGTGGAGAATAGGGAAGTTCGGATTTTTGTTTTTTTTTTTCAATCTGCCTTATGTATTTTTAGCTTTTTTTTTCCTTGTTTTTCTTTTTCTTTTTCTCTCTCTCGCTGTATGTCAGTGTGTGTGTGTGTGTGTGTGTG